TGGATCCTATCTGTCTCTCCTTGTCTAGTGTGGAAGCTCGATTCCGTGATCATTCTTTCCCTCTCTCTCTTACCACCAATCTCTACCTTTATGCTGACCTGGTCCCTGCTGTCTGACTCTTTACTCTCCATACCCCCTGTTAACACCCATTCACGTCCTCTGTTAACATCTATTAATCACCTATCAAGCATGATACTTTGCTCTCCTGTTGGAACAAAGATCAAAAAAAAAGTCCTCAGGGACCTCAAGGAGTTTACATTCTACTGAGGGAATACGCATGTACGCTAGTGAGTTAATACAAAGTAATTCCAAGAGAGTACAAGTGGTAACATGAGAGTGGGGGTCACAATAGACCCACTGAAGGATTCTGAGGTAAAAGTGAAGAAGGGCCACAGTCCAACCATGGGGGACCTGCTATGCAAAGGCATGAGGTAAAAGATGGAAGGTCATGTAAGGGGAGCAACTATGCTATCAGACCATTTTGACTGGACCACAGCTGGATGGTGAAAGGGTCAAAGAGGGGACACGTGAGGCAGGGAGAGCAATTGGGAGGCTGTGGCAGTAACTCAGATGTGACGAGGGCTAGAATTAGGGTAGAGTCAATGGGATCAGAGAGGAGGACACGAGATATTGTGGAGGAAAAATTGATGAGATTTAGTCATTGATTAGGGAAGGTAGGTGGCACAGTGGATAGAGCTCCAGGCCTGGAATTAGGCAGATTCATCTTCCTGAGTTCAAATCCAGCCTCAGACACTAGCTGAATGACCCAAGGCAAGTCACTTAACCTTGTTTGCCTCAGTTTCCTCATCTATAAAATGAGCTGGAGAAGGAAATGGCAAACTACTGTAGTATCTTTGCCAAGAAAACTTCAAATGGGGCCACGAAGAGTCGGACACAACTGAAAAATGACTAATTAGAGCTATTGATTGCATATGAAGGTTAAAGGGAAAGGGTCAAGGATGACTCCAGGGTGGTAAATTTGGGTGATTCAAGGATGGTGATGCAGCAACAAAAATAGGGAAATTCGGAGCAGGGATGGGTTTAGGGGAAAATTTTCTATTATTGTTGAACTAAGATGCCCACAGGAAGATATCCATGTAGATATGTCCCCCAAGCATGTTAATACCAGAGTGGAGCTCAGGGGAGAGATTAAGTCAAGTCAATGAGCATTCATTAAGTACCTACTCTTTGGCAGGCATTCTGTTTAGCGCTGGAGATACAATATTTTATTTATATGTATGTATGTGAACATGTGTGTGTCTCCATGTATATCAATATGTACATACACATATAAATAAAATATATGTGTGTATATGCACACATTACTGTTCAGTTGTGTCCAACTCTTTAAGACCCCGTGGACAGCTGCACATGGGGTTTTCTTGGCAACAATACCTGAGTGGTTTGCCATTTTTTTTTCTCCAGTTTTATGCAAGCAGGGCTTGAGTGACAGCGATTAAGTGCCGGAGGTCAGATTTGAACTCTGGTCTTTCTGACTCTAGGCCCAGTGCCCTATCCAGCATGCCAGCTAGCTGTACCCACGCGCACACGCATAGAATATGTGGATCTGAAAGTCATTGAGAAACAAATGGTAATCCTATCCATGGAAGCTGACGAAGTCACCCAGAAAGAGAAAAGGAGGGAAAAAGTATAATCCAGCAATGATATCTGCAAGGGAATGATCAGATGGGTAAGAAGAGAACCAAGAAGTCAGCCTCAGTTTAATCATTTCTCAAAATGGAAATAATCAGAACACCTACCTCCCAGGGGTGTGGTGAGGAACAAATCAGAAAACACATGTTACTCCCCTTTGTGAACTTTGTTCCTCCCAAATTGGACCGCTGGCTGTTTTTCAAACTGGCCGCACTATTTCCTGGCCCATGTGACATTTAAAAAGTTTGAGAGAAAAAGCTAGGTGGCACCAGCCCTGAGGCCAGGAGGACCTGAGTTCAAATCCAGCCTCAGACCAAATACTTGATACTTACTAGCTGTGTGACCCAGGGCAAGTCACTTAACCCCAATTGCCTAAAAAAATTTTTTTAATGTTTGAAAGACAATTTCTGGGTAATCATTTTATTAATAATGCTAGCATATTACCAATAAAATAGGTCAGTGGCAGCCTCAAATGCCAAAGACCTCTTCATGGCTGTGGGCTCACAGTTTATATTCCCTTGGAAGAGTGGGTGTTCCTGAGGATAGTGATCAACTCTGATTGGTTAACAATGAGAGAGAATGAATATTATAATGAGAAGTGGACCTGTTCTAATGAGGGGCTAGGGGACCTAACTTTGATCTTGTCATTTACTTCCAAATCACCCCCAGGATCTATATCCCACAATGGGTGGGATTTTCACCTTAGATTAAATTCTTTGTAAGGCTGTGTGGGGTCGCAATACCTAGATTGAGAAGAATGTTATCCTATCTGCTGTCATCAGTCCTGTCCTTCAGAGGCTGAGCCTTGAAGTGAGGACTTTAGGAAAAAGGGGAGAACTTTGGATCTCCCCAAATCACCGGTTAGTTATAATCATTTCTCTCACACTTAAGTTCACAGAAGTTATTCACCTTGCCTAAAATTCACTCCCTCCTCAGCCTCTCAGAATCTTTGCCTTCCTCCAAGACTTGCTTCAGATACCACCTCCTCCGTGAAGCCTTCGCTGAAGTGGATGAGCATTTAAATGCTTACTATGTGCCAGGCACTGTGATAAGTGCAGGGGTACAGATAAAATCTAATGGGGAAGACAACACATAAAAGGAACCTGAAAGGCAAGGGGTGGTGAGGGGGAAGATACTCATAGTGGGGCATTGTGGAGAAAATCCAGAGAGTCAAGAGAGAACCCTGGAGAGGAATCCCAAGGTAGCTGACCTGGGCAATTTCCTTAAAATGGCATCTCTGGGAGGAATCAGCCAATCAGAGGAAGGATCCCCAGGGACAGAGAATAGTTCCTGTGTAAGAAAACCAGGTGTGGAATGGACCACCAGGGTGAAGGAGCTTCTGTGGCATGGCAGAGAAAGTCTGGGGAGGCATGAAGATATGGCTAGCCTGAGCACACTCCTTAAAATGAGGCTCGGGGAAGAGCCAGCCAGTCAAAGGAAGGGGCCATAGGAGTGGAGTGAACTTCTAGGTGCAGAGGCTTTTCACCAGCTGCCACTAGTGGGCCATCAGTTGGCACACCTAAGGTAATGCCAACTTCCCTGTCACTTTTAACATAGAGACTCAAAACTTCTACTCTGACTTTTAATGTCTCTGCATGAAGTCTGTCGCTAACCACCCAAAAGCTCACATGATTAAAACTTCTTTTGAAGGTAACTTCATCTGGTGCAGAACCGTATTTCTCTTTTATTTAATTTTATTTAGAAGCAGCTAAGTGGCACAGTGGATATAGAGGATTGGGCAAGCAGTCAGGAAGAACTAAATTCAAATCCAGCCTCAGACACTAGCTGTGTGACCCTGAGCAACTCATTTAATTTGTCTGCCTCAGTTTCCTTATCTGTAGAATGGGGAGAATAACAGCACCTACCTCCCAGGGTTAAGAGAATATATGTTGAGATAATATCATTGTTTGTTAACTAAATGTTAATTGTTATTAACTATTGTTAAGTAAATGTTAACGATGATGATGATGATGATGATGTTTGTGCAATGAACTCCATTATAAGACATGAGTGTGACTGAATGAAAGCCAGCAGGAAGGGAAGATGTCATAGGTTTGGTTTTTTTTATTGGACAGGGAGCTGAGCCTAAATGAATAAATTCACACAGACCACACTTCTAGACTAATAAGACAATTCCCTCAAAAAAAAAAAAAGGAGAAGGGGCAGGTGAAAGAGGTAACCAGTTCCCTGAGAACCACACAGAGCAGTTTCCCCCAGAGTAGCCTCTGGTTGTGCAGGTTGTCAGGCCTGGTCCTTATTGTTGAATAGAAATAGTCAAGTCTCATCACTACCCAAGGCCCGGTATCCAGTCCCCTGGGAGTTAAAAAAAAAAATTTACATTATTAGGTTTAGAAGGGATACAGTATTCGAAATGTCTTATCTTTTGAGCTGTCTGGATTTTAATTTCATGATCCTCGATGGGCCCTTCACAGGTCCTTTCCCCATTCATTGTCAGTTATATGCACAGATGAACCTCTTGAGTTTTCAAAGAGCAGGAGACCAAGCTCTCCTCTTTGTCACATGGGCAGAACTATGCTGTGCTCCCATCTGAGCAACTGAGGATGTTGGAATCTTTCCAAGCCATCCCAGAACGTTCAGATGGAAATCCCAAAGGTCCTCAAGGGCGGTCCCTCCCCATCCCAGAAACAGCATGCTTATTTGTCAGTGATTAAGTCACCCATGCCTCTACTGAAATGACCTTTTTATTGTTTTTAACATAAAACAGCATTTCCATTGAAGCATTTATTGGGGGGGAAGAAATCACATGGATTCAGCAAACAAGTATTTATAAATAAAAACCAGAAGGCCAAATGTCAGATTCCCCATCTATGGCATTTACGTGAGTTCCAATTGGTCTCTCTTCCATTTTTTTCCCCAGCGTTGTACCACCATCAAATTTAATTTGTATGATTCCATGAGGTGTTGAGTTATTCATCGATGCCTTCGTGATAATGGTCTTAATCTTTCTCCCATGTGCCCCATTCCTGTTCCTGTAGGATTCTGTCTAAGTTACTATAATTTCTTCTCCCAACTCCCCACCTATTTTTATGCTCTGCCCCCACTTCTCTTATCCTATTTAGACCGCTACATATTGGCATGGACCAGGTCATCTGACCACCTCCCCATCCCCTCCTCACCCCCAATAGAGACCTTTCACAGGAAGTATTGGGAGACACAGAATCTTGATTCTGCTGTTTACTAGCTGGGGGACACCAGGCAAGTCACCTACTCTCTTAGGCCTCAGTTTCTTCATTCTGTAAAATGAAGGAGTCCAACTAGATGATTTCTAAGGTCCCTTCTAGTGCTAGCTCTATGACCTTATGACAGAGAAGTCACTTTAAAAGAGGAAGAGAGAGAGAACAAAAATTTAATTGGGGAGGAGGGAGCAATAGCAGAGAAGCTAAGTTTACAGCCGGAGTCAAGCCAAGGGGACATAAATGCTAATGGGGGAGATGGTGTGGACTATTTCAACAACGGCAATCACCTCCAGTCTCTCTGAAGGCTTTACATAGTAGAAGCTAATGGCACCTCTGTGGGATGGGACATCCATCTGCTGGACAAATGTGAGCGTTGAGTCCCAGGGAGAAAGTGATGGGCTGAGCCAGGAGAAGACCCAAGACCAAATCTTCCAGAGCCAGAAGACCCAAGACCAAATCTTCCAGAGCCAGAAGACCCAAGATCAAATCTTCTAAAGCTTTGGCTAGTAGGTGCTTAATAGCTGTTCATTGATTGGCTACATAGGAGCTAATGATACCTGAACCCTGAATGGTGGTGGGAAGAAGATTGGTAAACCTTTTTCACAAATGTATTCTATTACTGTTGTTACTACAAAATCACAATCCCTGAGGCTGGAAATCTGAAAAATGCAAAGGCAAGCTTACAGTAAGGAGTTGGACATGGCCAAACATTAACCTGAGATTCATCCTACAGGTAAGGAGAGGCTGCTTTGGTTTCTGGGAAACAAGAATGACTTTTTTTTTTTTCTCAGTGGAGGTCGGTTGTAACTGCTGTGTCCTTGCAAACCTGTCTGGATGGTGAGTCGGTGGTGGTATACTCCTGTTAACGAGGAGGCAGGGGCTGCATGTGGAGGGCATCATAGGTGTCCTTGGTGGCTGAGCTGAGGCCCTGGAGAAAGCAGAAAGAGATGGTGAGTAGAGCTGCATTCCCTAGATCCCCCCTCCCCAACCTGCAAGAGCTTGGTAATAAGGCAGCCCAGGACTCTGATATTTAAAAGCATTTGTGGAAACTGTTGGAACAGCTCGGGGGTAGGGGGAGAAGGTGGGGAGGAGGGAAGCCCCTAGAGACTGTATCTGAGATGCCAACAGGTAGGTTGGGTCTCATTTGTAAAATCACTTACAGCTAGTTGCATAAATTAAGCGCTTGACTATAGTAATGCTGCCTTTGAAAGTTGCCATTTTCTTGGGGTTTTTTTTCCTTCCCTTTCTCTTCTCTCTTCCTTCTCTTCCTCCCACTCTTATTGCCTCTGAGAGACAGAAGGGAGGACTAGTCTACAGATGTCTGATGCTATCCAGAAAGAGGCAGCTCTGTAGTAATGTAGGGGAAGGAGCTTGGGTCTTGAAATCAGATTCTGACACTCAGTAGCTGTGTGACCTTGGATCTCCCTGAGATCCATTTTTAAATCACGTGAATTAGAAATACCCATATATGCATCACCTACTTCAAAGGGCTGCTGTGAAGACAGCACATTGTCTGCCATAAAGTACTATATAAATACACGTGAGTTATGTCTATGGAGTCCAGATGGCTCAACCTTAGTTGGTAGAGAAGACTTTTAAAATCTCATAGGCTCATAGATTTAACACTTGAAGAGAGCTTAGATTTCATATAGTTGGGCCCTCCCGTTTTATAGATGAGGAAACTGAGGCCCAAAGAAGTTGTGATTTGACCCAGGTTACCCAGGAAGAACCAGGATTCAAATCCAAAGATCCTCCCACTGCACCATGAATTCAGATCTTAGTTTGATAAAATTGATGGAGTTTTGTTTTGTTGTTCAGTTGTGTCCAACTCTTTGTGACCCCCCCCCACCATGAACCATTGCATGCCGCCCTTCTATCCTCCACTATCTCTCAAAGTCTGTCCAAGTTCATGTTTGTTGTTTCCATGACACTATCTTTCCATCTCATCCTCTGCCATCCCCCATTCCTGTTGCCTTCAATCTTTCCCAATATCAGGGTCTTTTCCAAGGAGTCCCATCTTCTCATTTTGTGGCCAAAGCATTTAAGCTTCAGCTTCAGTATTTGACCTTCCAGTGAATAGTCGAAATTCATTTAAGTATCGACTGATCTGATCTCTTTGCTATACAAGGGACTCTCATAAGTCTTCTCCAGAACCATGATTTGAAAGCCTCACTCTGTAGTACTCAGCTTTCCTTATAGTCTGGCTCTCGTGCCATACATAGCTATTGGAAAAACCATAGCTTTGACTCTCTGGACCTTTGTCAGCAAGGTGACATCTCTGCTTTTCAGTATTCTGTCCAGATTTGCCATAGCTTTCCTTCCAAGGAGCAAGTGTCTTTTAACTTCATGGCTGCAGTCAATCACCATCTTCACTGATCTTTGAGCCCAAGAACAGAAAATCTGACACTGTCCATTCTTCTCTCTCTATTTGCCAGGAAGTGATGGGACCAATTATTGTCTTGGAGTCAGACAATTTAGGTTAAAAATTCCTGCTTTGACACTTCCTAAGTTATGTGACCATAGGCAAATCATTTAAACTCTCTGAGTCTTCATTTCCTTGTTTATGAAAAAAAAAAAAGAGGACTGGTTTCAACAGTCTCTGAATTCTTTTCAGCTTTAAATAATCATAGTAACAACAACAACAATAATAAAAAGCATTCGCATAACACTTCACAGTTTTCAAATGATTTACAAACATTCTCTCATTTGATTTTCACAAGAGCCCTGGGAAGTTGGGTGCTATTATGATTGCCATCTTATAGATAAGGAAACTGAAAGTGAGAAAGGATGAGTAATTTGCCCAGGGTCACTTAGCTAGTAGGTGTCCAAGGCAGGATTCAAACTCGGGTCTTTCTGATTGCTAGTCCAACCATAGCCGCTGCACCACCTAGCTCTAGCTGTGATCCTCTGAGTTCTTTGTCTAATCTCTGACCAACCCAATGCCCATGTTAACAGAGCTGTAACTAGGGTAGGGAGATTGGTACTTTGTCCCAGTGTTTCATGGAGGTGTTTCCTACCCTGCTCCCCCTGTTGGCACTGGTGACAGTGTCAACCTGAGGGTGTTTCCTCACCACTCATTGGCAACCCTGGCAGGTGACTTTGAACAAGTAACTTGGCCTCACCGTCCTTATCTATAAAATAAAGGGCTGGGACTTCCTGGATGACTGCTAGATAACTTTCCAACTTGAAATGTGTGTTTCCTTACCTTCCTAATCTTCGTACACCTTACTCACACACAACCACCCACACACACACACACACACACACACACACTCCAATCCAATGACGCTGGCCTCCTTGCTGATCCACAAACAAGACACTCCATCTCTTGGTTCTGGCCATTTTCTCTCTGGCTGTCCCATGCCTGGAACGCTCTCCTTCCTCATCTCCACCTCCTGGCTTCCCTGGCTTCCTTTAAATCCTAACTCAAATCCCACCTTCTACAGGAAGCCTTTCCCAACCTCTCTTAATTCTAGTGCCTTTCATCTATTGATTATTTCCTATTTATACTGTATGTATCTTGTCTGTACATAACTGTTTGCATATTGTCTCTCTCATTAGACTGTGAGCTTCTTGAGGGCAGGGACTGTCCTTTGCCTATCTTTGTATTCCCAGTTGTTTAGCACAGTACTAAGGAGGCACAGAGTAGGTGCTTAATAAATGTTCATTGGCTGAAGGACTGATTTTGATCCTTCCACATGACAGTCCTTCAAATCTGGAGACGACTTAGACTTTTCTTCTACAGTCTAAATGTTCCCAGTTGCTTTAACTGTTTGCAGGTTTCCTAGTTGACCATCTTGGTCATTTTCCTGTGGATTCTCTCTGGTTTGTCAATTCCCTCTTGAAAAGTGGTGTTTGTGTGGGCATACATACACACACAGAGTGCTTTGCACATACTATGTACTCAGTAAAGTGTGGTGTGATCCAACCTACAGCCTCCCACAAAACTGTACTCTGTGTAGTCACAAAGATCTTTGAGAAAGCTGAATGAGCATCTCAGTGATGATCTGGTACATCCAATAAACTAGAACTCCAACCCCTCCTCACCCCCCACCGCCCCAAGTTGCTGGGAACAGAAGCCCCCTCAGGAGGGGCCACATCTGTGGCAGTGAACTGGAGTGAGGCTATGATCAGAATCAGCCCCTACCTGGTACAGGACATCATTCCCTTTGGCTCGTCTTCGCTGGTTCTATGAAAGTGAACCGAAAAAAAGATTATTGACACAGACAGGCTTCCTGCCCAGGCAATGCTCTTGTGGGCTAGGATCCTTGAGGGCTAGAGCCTGGGTGGCATCTGGAAGAATCCGCTGTCCCCTCTCTGGATAAGGTAGGTGCACAGACCTCTACATCTGTCATGGAAGGTATATCAACTTCCCAAGGGTTGACCTGGAATTCTATCTGATGAAATTCGAAAGAAGTAGATCACTCTCCAGGGACTGGAAAGGTTTTTGTTACACAGAGGCGCTCTCCAGGTGCGGCATTTACTATGATAGGGTTTGCCCTATGTGGCAGGCACATAGACAATCAACCCAGTTGTTTAAGAGTGTGTCTTTTTTTAATTTGGGAGGGCAAGTTCTAGGTACGTGTGACTGGATCTTACAGGTGCAGAATTCAGTGGACTCGTGATATATAAATATAAATTATATATATGTATATATATATATACACACACACATGCATACATACATGTACATATGCATACATACACATACATGTGTGTGTGTGTGTGTGTGTATACATATAGGTAGTGTCTTTGCATAGGTAACCTGAAAACTACCGTGTGCATTTATTGGGGCACTCATGACAGGCTTCAACTTTGGGGACTTTCCTGGTAATTTCCTTAGCTGATCCTCCTCCGGGCCCTAACAGAGAAAGTGTAATGGCGGTACTCACCTCTCCTTTCATTCCAATCTCACTGTACGCTTCTGCCATCTTGTCTTTCTGCAATGCCTATGCAGCAACAGCGTTGGGAGGAGGAAGTAGAAGAAAGAAAACTCTTAACGTGAAAAATGGCGTTCTCTTCCTTCCCAAACCCCAAATTCTACCTAGGAGAGCGCTTCCCAGTTTACTTCCTCTTGCTTCCTTCTCCATTCACTCTTTTCCAGCTCAGCCTTGACATTGAGGCTTCTCTGCTTGGTCAGCCCTTCTCACTCTGAGCTAAGCTCAGCAGAGCAGCCCGGGTAAGATGCAGTGAGATTGAAGTCTCATATCCTTTCCTCCACATCACACTCATCTGGACACAGCTAAATCTCTAAACATCCTTTGTAGGCTGGCTATTTCTTTGGCTCAGCTATCCGGAGCCTTCTCTACCAGTCCTGAACTTGCAAGAGGCCTTTCTTGGTCCACTGGTAGAGCTGTAAACTGGTCCAACCATTCTAGATAGTAATTTGGAATTATGCAAAGAAAAGTGACTAAACTGACCATAACTTTTGACCCTTATTGGGCATGTACCTCAAGGAAGTCAAACACAGAAACAAAAGTCCCCTAATTAGCAAAACAGTCATAGCAACCACTCTTTTTAGTAGCAAAGAACTGGACACAAACTGGGTGCCCATCAGTTGGGGATGACTGAAAAAAATATGGCATATGAATGTAATAGAATATTGTACAGTAAGAAATAACGAACATGAGGAATTAAATTAGGATGATCTGACGTAGAATGAAATGAGCAGAACCAAGAGAACAATATTATGAGCTAGTAAAAACTGGTTTGACTGATTTGGTCCCAGCCCTGTGGATGCATGTGTGATGTGGAGGCTAAGCGTTCTCATCCCTACCTGTCCAGCCTCTTGATGGCTAGCACAATTAGAATTAAGCTTCCTTCATTCCTCACTCACTAGACAATTCAGAAAATGCCCTCATTTCACTGATCCTGATTATCCTACTATCTTGCCTTATGGATGAAGTCAACTATTAGTGCCATCAGCTTTTTATCTAAATTTTGAGCCTCAGGGTACTTTGGGCCTCGACTGTGGTGCAGAAACCATTGCCTAGTTGCACATCTGAAGCTATCCCTACTCTGTGCTGCCCTCAGACTATGGGCCACACATCAAGATTTTTCTATTGACATCTGTTCTCCACCCCTGTGAATGGCAGTTAAGTCTTATTAGCTGCTCTCTGTTGTGGTTCTGTAGCTCTTCCTCCAGTCCGCTCCCCTCTCCTCCAGTACTGCAAACATACATGACTCCCAACAATGTAAATGAAAACATCACTAAAAGGGAGTTGAATTCTAAGTAACTGAAAACCCAGTAAAGGCCTCCTGAGAATGGATAACGAAACATACATCTCCCTGAAGGCAGGGAGGCTGGGGACTATCAGGACTGGATATTTTATACACTGTCACTGCATTGGGCATTTTTGCTTAATTATTTTTGTTCATCTTAAAGGAGAGTTAAATCATTGGGCAGGGGGTGGGGCAGAGAAAGGATTAAAGCGATTGTGATATTTTCGAAAAGCATAAATAAAATGTATTTTTAAATGTTTATTGAATTGAATCGAATTCAGCTCTCTCCAAGCCCTGACCCATTTTTTCTCCACATGCCCTCCCCTTACAATCCCATCCCCCTGCCCTAAAAAGCACACTAGGTGCCCATCAGTTGGGGATGGCTGAAAAAAAATAATGGCACATAAATGTATGTTACTTCCCTCTACTCACATTGTACACAGTTTCTTGAGGGTTCTTCCTTCTCTGTCAAGAAAAAAGAACCAAAAAAAGTCAGAAGTGGTGAGAGGTCTTTCGTACACAGAGGGTGAATACAAGCGATGATTGTATCTTTAGTACATGGGATTGTTCCTGCCCCTTGCTTCTCCATAAACTCTTATTATTAGTGATCATCTTTAAAGGGACACTGAACTGGAAAGTGGGGTTAACCTTGTCTCTCCATACCCCGCCATCAGACACACATGATTTGGACTCAAGCAGCTTTGACTCTGGTCACATCTCCATTTTTCTCTCTCCTCTTTGAAGGAGACCCTGTGTTGGTGAGAGGCACTCAAAGCAGGCACCCCCCATGACCCTGGTGATCCAAGCAGCAGCCAAAGCAGGAAGCTCGCCTTCAAAACCAGCTTTAGAGGACTCCGTGGAAGACAGAGCCATGACGGGTTACTAATGGAGATGGGGTTGGGGGGGGGGGTTGGGGAACATCCCTTAGCTGGGAAGCCCCCATTGTTCCCAATCCCTTTTAGGTGATATGACTCCTTATTTCTGCCTCCTGGCTTTCCTGGCTTCCTTCAAGCCCCAGCTACCATCCCACCCTCTGCAAGAAGCCTTTCCCAATACTCCGTTCTCGTGCCATCTTTCTGTTGATTCTTTCCTATTTTATAACTTGTTTGTACAAAACTGTTTGCACATTGATTCTCCTTAAAGGCAGGGACCGTCTCTTGCCTTTCTGTGTATCCATGTGCCTGGCCCATGGTAGGCACTTAATAAATGTTTATGAACTAACAGCTAAATTCCACGAGACCAGGAAATATGTCTTATCTGAATGTTGCACCTCCTTCAGGGACCAGTAGGGAACTAGTTTGTTGTCACTTTTGTTATTCAGTCATTCAGCATCTTGGCAAAGATACTGGAGTGGTTTGCCATTTCCTTCTCCAGCTCATTTTACTGATGAGGAAACTGAGGCAAACAGTGAAGTGACTTGCCTGGGGTCGCACAGCTAGTAAGCGTCTGAGGCCAAATTTGAACTCAGGTCTTCCTAACTCCAGGCCTGATGCTCTATCTGCTGTGTCACTTAGCTGCCCTGATCAAAGGATCAGGGTTCAAGTCTAGATGTAGTACTTTTTACTTGTGACACCTTGAGCAAATCATGGCCTCTCTGGGCCTCAGTTTCTTCAGCTGTAAATTGAGTTAGATTAGATGAGCTCTAAATTCCCTTCTAGCTCTAAATTGATGCTACCTATGTTTCTTCAGTGCCATTGCTAGAGAAAGAACCCTGGAGTGGGTGGAATTGTGGTCTGACTCAGTGGGACAATCGTAGGTCAAGAGCCACTCCCACACCCAACTCAACCCCAACGCATATTAGTGCTGTTATCCGATGTGGTCGTCCTCTGTACTCTAGGGAAGAAGAAAGAGAAGCCATACTCTTTTGTGCGCATCAGTGTTTCTCCCTGTGGTTGTTTACACCTTTACCCTTTGTCTCCACCCCCAGGTCCCCCCACCCAGGGGGAGATTAGCATCAGAGAGAATACCTCCAGAATGACATCCAGGAAACCAGCAAGGGGCTGGGTTACCAGATGTAACAGGGTTCTACACGGGAGTTCTTGTATGCGAGATCTGGGGGTGGGTGCAGGAAGGGTTTCTTATCAACAAAAGTGGGATATACAGAATGGGGGTGGGATAGGGCAGGCAGAAGGGGGAGAGGGTACCTGCCGTACCTGTGGCTAGAAATGTAAAAAAACCCAAAACCCCATTCATTTGGAATGGATGTCAGAAAACCTCCCCTCCCTGCAGTAACAGCTCTTGGACCCTAGTGCCTGGCTGGAACCAATTTCACTGGAAAGCTTAGCAATACCACTGACCATCTAGTTTCTTGGCCTCTCTGAGTCTGTTTGGCTATCTGTAAAATGGGAGAGATTGCCTACTTCACTAGGCGGCTGTGAGCATCCAAAGAGATAGCAGATGCAACAGTTTTATAAACCCTAATATGCAATGAGCTGACATTTACGTGGTGTTTTACGGTAGGAAAATCATTTGACATATGTTAACTCATTTGATCCTTACAATAGTCCTACGTGGTAGGTATAGTATTATCTCCATTTTGCAGACAAATAGACTAAGGCTGAGCTTAAGGGTGATACAGCCTCCAAAGGTCTAAGCTGAAATTCTAACCTAGGTCTTCCTGACCCTAAGTGCAGTGGTCTATCCACTAGGCCATACTGCCTCCAAAGAACTTTATATTTGGAGACGGAAGACTTTGGTTTGAGCTGGGCCTTAGTTTCTTCTTCTGTAAAATATGGGAAGGGTGTATGGGGAATGGCCTAATGTTTCTTATGTCTCTTCTGGCTCTAGATCTAAGATCCTATTCTCCTTGCTGGTCCTCACACAAAACTGCATCTCCTGATTCCAGGCATTCGCTCTGGCTGTGCCCCACGCCGGGGTGTTCTCCTTCCGCGCTTCTACCTCCTGGCTTTCAGGGCTTCCTTCCAGATTCGCCTCAACCCCACTTTCTACAGGAGGGCTTTTCCAATCCTCTTGCTACTAGTCCTTTGCCAACCCTCCAAGATCACTGCTGTCTTTATCTTATATGTACATAGCTGTTTTGTTTTGGTTTGGTTTTTTGGCTAGGCAATGGGGTTAAGTGACTTGCCCATGGTCACACACCTAGTAAGTGTTATGTGTCTGAGGCCAGATTTGAACTCAGGTCCTCCTGAATCCAGGGCCAGTGCTCTATCCACTATGCCACCTAGCTGCCCCTACATAGCTGTTTGCATGTGGTCTCGCTGAGGGAGAAAGATCCACTGACCCTCCCAGAAGCCCACTCGGGCATAACAGGAGATCTCTTAGGAGACCAACATGGCGGCTGTAGTCTTTTCTGTCGAAGCAGTAGGCTCACTTTTCCAGCATACACTGGCTGCTGCCCTCGTGCTTTTTGCCACTGACTCTTTATCCTTATGTCCCCAGTTAATGGGGCGGCCAGTGTCTTCTTCAAGATTCTTCGAGCTGGGGCAGCTAGGTGGCACAGTGGATAGAGCAGCGGCCCTGAAGTCAGGAGGACCTGAGTTCAAATCTGGCCTCAGACCAAACACTTGACACTTACTAGCTGTGTGACCCCTGGGCAAGTCACTTAACCCCAATTGTCTTAAAAAAGAAAAAAGTCTTCGAGCTACCAGAGTTAAACACTGCTTTTTCCCAAACAATATGTGCTCCCCCTCCAGCAACAACAAACAACAACAGAAATCTGGGCTGTATAGGGCGGTGGATAGAGCCCAGCCTGGAGTCAGGAAGACCCAACATCAAATCTGGCCTCAGTTACTTATTAATTGTGTACCTTGGGCAAGTCACTTAACCTCCATTTACCTCAGTTTCTTCAACTGTAAAATGGGAATAATAATAATAGTACCTCCAGGGTTGTTGTAAAGATCAAATGAGATAATAATTATAAAGCACTTAGCACAGTCCTTAGCACATGGTAAGCGCTGTATGAATGTTTGCTCCCTTTATTATTTGTATAAATATCCAGTTTAATTTATATCCATTTTAATTTACATAAATGTGCCTCTTATGTATAGAAAGCCCTAATTCTCAGCATGTCAATCAGTTGATAAAGCATTTTTAAACACCTACTATGCGTCAGACACTGTGCTAAATGCTAGAGATTCAAAGAAAGGCAAAGCACAGCCTCTTCCCCCAAGGAGAGAACAAGCAGAAAGCTAGGTACAAACAAGACATATACAAGATAAGTCGGGGGTAGTTTCAGGGGGAAGGAATTAAGATTAAGGAGGACTGGGAAAGTATGTAAAATAAATGAATCTAGACAGCCTTCAGGAAGGGTATTTAAACCCATTGCTGAAGAACACTGGAAGAGAGAGGTCTACCAATGGTTGCAGGGGTGGGGGACCTGTGGCCTCAAGGCCTTCTAGGTCCTTAAGTGTGGCCCTTTGACTGAATCCAAATTTCACAGAATAAACCCCCTTAATAAAAGGATTTGTTCTGTCAAACTTGGACTCAGTCAAATGGACACACCTAGATGGCCACATGTGGCCTCAAGGCTGCAAGTTCCCCACCTTTGGGGAAAAATGAGCCAGATTAGATCTCTCCAGGGCAGACTGCTCCAATCAAGGCCATGATGTGGCTGGGGAGAGAAGGCCCCAGATGGGGCCTGTCCCTGTGAAGTCATGAGCCTATGTACTAGACCAGCCCGGACAACCACAAGGAGAAAGCTTTGATGCTCACCAAGGAGCACACCTTCTAACTCTCGCTCCCTAGAATTACAAGCATATACACACCTGGGGCAGTAACACCAAGCCTGACAGTCAGTGGGCTTTGGGGTGGAGCTGGGTGAAAGAATAGCTCTTGACTTTCTTTAGGAACAAAGATGGTAAACTCAGACCAAAATGCTCCAGAGGGCAAGCATGCACGGTGCAACAAAAGGAACTCTGGATTGAATTATCCTTTTGAAATGTACAAAAGAGAACTGAAAGAAGGCCAGGAAAAAAAAAAAGCACAGACTAGCAGGACAACTTTGAAAGTTACATGCTAAATTTAATGTAGACTTCAAAAGGAAAAGCAAGCTGTACAGAGCAGACATTTGCAGTTTCACGGATGATCCTTTTCTATTCTACTGTGTATATGGCAGTGCTCGTAACAGGGAGCCAAGTACTTTACATATGTTCTCTCATGGTAAGTTTTGTACTGCTTACCTTACAACTTTGGAAGGCAACGTCTTGATAAGTGTTAAAGCCCTCAAGAAATCTGAGTGATGAGGAATTATCCCTAAATTAGGCCAGTCAGCAGGGACCATGGTCCTCTTCCTGGTGGTTCATCTCATAGATGTGTGACCATGGTCCCAATGGAAGTTGGCTCTCTAGCCATATGGGATTGTGAGCTCCTCCAGTTCTGGAACTGCCTTTTGCCTTTGTGTGCATCTCCAGTGCTTAGCACATATCCCAGAGTATTGCTACATAAATATTTACTGACTGACTAACAAGGTGAATAATAATTTGGCACCACTAATGAACAAAATCGAGGCTTACTGATGGTGGGTCAAGGACATCACCATGGGTGGGTGGGAATAGGATGAGGATTCATACCTCCTGAAGACCTTTTCGAATCCCATAATAATCAATCATTTGGAGGGGAGCCTGGCAGCTGAGGTGAGAGAGTGACAGTCTGCCTCAGATCAGCACAGGGTAGAAACAAATGAATGAACACATGTAGGGAAAAGCATCATGGGAGCAGAGGGCAAAACCCCAGAGTGAGCAGTGCAGGAACAAAGGAACCCAAAAAAAGAAGGGAATTTGGCACCTGTTTTCCCCCGATCTCCGGGTCACGGCCTCTTCTCTTATCTAAAATGTCATATTCTTCTCTGCGTCCTAGGGAGAGCTCCTGCAATAAGAAGGCAAATGTCAGAGGAGCGTGGCTGATCCAGGTGAGGAGAGTAGAAGGTTCTAGAAGGAGAGGGCAATTTGGGGCCAGGAAGTCTGGGTCTGGGTGTGGGTCTGGGTCTGGGGCTTGGGGAAGGCAAGTAAAGTAAAAACAGACAACCAGGACCTGGGTGATGTAAGTGGCACCAGAGAAGCAGCAATCACATGCTGGCTCTTAACAGGCAGATTGGTGTGTTGTGTAAGAGGTCAGTACACTTGCCATCTGAAGACTTAGATTTGAGTCTTAGCCTCTGGCCCTCAGTAACGATGTGACCAAATCACTTAACCATTCTGAACCTCACTGTTTAGAAAAATTTAAGCAATTTCTCATTTAAGTTATTATTAGCAGCTCCGGAAGTGTCCCATGTTTCCGGTAACCTGGAGAGTGGTGGAAATGAAAGAGACCTCTGAAGGTGGAGCATCCCCTTCTGGGCAGGACTGTACCCGACTGGCCTCAGATGGGTATCCATCCTGGACTTAAGGTAAGAATCCCTGGTTTCCCCCAGTAAATCTTGAGAAATTGCTACATGGCCAGTTTGCATATAATTACCACAGATTTGCATGGCTTTACCCAAAAAAAGCCATTGCTGCTAGAGTGTGAAATAAAGTTCACAGGTGCATTGAGACCAAGTCCTCTGTAGGCCCTGGTAAAAGGGGGCCAGTGGCCCTATCAATAGAACAGGCTTCCCCAGGAACACAACAATTCAAGGCTACAGAGGCCGCAGAGAACGGAAGGATCAAAATGGGAAGCGTCTCTAAAATACAGCCAGGAACCTGGGCTTGGGGCTCTTCAGGCACCAGGCAATCGGATCTCTTTTCTCAAAAAATCATAGACCAGCAAGAACTCACTGAGGGGCCATAGTGTAGTTGGAGAAGCTCCAGACTTGGAGGCAGGAGGTTGTGGATTCAAATCCTGCAGGTGATGCAGGAACTGTGTGACTTGGTAAGTCCATCAACCTTTCAGAGCCTCAGTTTCTCCATCTGTAAAATGCAGATGATAATACTCACGCTATCCTACTTCACAGGGATGTTGTGAGCGATGCTCTGTAACAACTTAAAATACTAAATAAATGTGAGTTATTATTTGGTGGTGACACACCAGCCATGGGTGGCATTGCATAGCTATGGTACACAGCACACCGCAGTCTCTGAAGAACTTAAGTGGAGGGTCAACCAAAGGGCCTTGCGATGGTCCACGGTGGTGGTGACTAAGGGTGTGCTGGGAAATGTTTTAACAACTGGTTCTCCAGGAAAATAAATGTACACATGGCACGCTTTTACACAGCATCATTGATATTTCCTTCATCATTTTCTTAAGTCTAGACAATCAACAAAATTATCAACCAAGCCCTGATTCGTAGCATTTGATCATGAGGTTTAAAGGCTGAAAATTTAACAACCAGCTCTTGGGAGCCTGTATAAGCTGGTTCCAGCATGCCTTTGGGTATAAGCAGGCTATAACCTATTACCATAAAAAAAAAAAAGAATTACATAGGCAAAACCACGTAAGATGTCATCAAAGAAACGTCTGACCAGGAAAGAAAATGGACTGGTCACATGGCAAGAGAGAGGGACCCCCAGTAGATAACCTGCATCATGTTCCACTGGTATACTTAAGACATCAAGAGAACACAGGGTAGCAATGGGTGGACCTTCTCTATCGAATCTGTGCTAGGACAGAGTTGAGAGTTCTTTAGGGTAGGTGGGCGTGAATAAACTCTGATGGACATTGCTAGACACATCACATATCAATGAGATCCAGGGTACTCTGGAGCTAGCCACCATAAAATAGCCTGTAAAGTAGTGATTCTTCCTGTCCCCCAACATCTCCCTCTCTCTCTCTCTCTCTCTCTCTCTCTCTCACACACACACACACACACACACACACATCATAGATATTTACATTGTAAAGTTGATTCTGGTCCTGTTGGTAGCTGGAGACTCTGGCAGTCTTGCTGAACTAAAGGGAAAAAAAAAGAGAGAAAAGGAGAGTGTAAGAGAGAGAAAGAACAAAAATGATATTGACTTCATATGCGTATGCCAAGGACTCACAGAAAATGAGGACTAGATATCTGGCCTTTATGTCAACTGCTTCTAAAAAAGAGGCCCCATTCCATCTGGGTTCCAAACAAAGGTATTCCTGGTACCTGATGACCTTTCTGTAACTTGCCACATAGGGTGCAGCAAGGTAGAAGTCACCATAGCTGGAGCTCCCAAACCAATCCAATCCCATAAGCACTTGTACCTCTGCTCTGGACATCTGTTGTTCTAGATGCAAAGACCAGATTAAAAGCAGTCCCTCTGACTTCAAATCCAGCATTCTTTCCAATGGAACATCAAACATTTGATAGTAGGGTGAGGGAGTTTCCACACTGAGAGTTCCCCAAACTGAAGAAATCATAGGTTAGAAGAAGGGAAAAAGAGACCAACCTTTGCTCTCAGGAAGAGGGCCGTGATAATGACTCCATAGATGAAGAGGATGCCATCTAGAAGGTAGCACAGTCTTGGGTCGGCCAGTCCAAAACTCTGGGCCTCTGTGGGAAGGAGTTGTGTTGGGGATGATTCAAACTCTGTGCTCATGTGTAATATGAAGTTCGACTCCATGACCTCCTCCCTCCTCTCTTTCCCTCCCTCTTCACTCGCAGGCTTATTCTAGACTGGTTTCTAGGCATGATAGTTTCAAGAGAAACCCTCAGCTTTCAGGGAGCCTCCCTCCATTTATATAGGAGGGTCCCTCTCGCCCTCGTTCCATCCCCTACCCCAATGTAGGCCAAAGGCAGTAAACTCCCATTTATGACAACAGCTCACATCTCTTTAGGTTTACTTATAAGGTTTTATGAAGCATTTTCTTCATGGCAGCCCAACATTATACTGAAAGGAAGTAACAGGGCTATAGAATTTGAATCCGTCTAACTCCAGGGTCGAGGCTCTCTCTACTGCTTCACCCTGTTTATCTGGCATGGTCAGTATCCACCAAGGAGTTTATATTGAGCACTTGCCGAGTCTTAAGGAGTTTGCTAAATGCAATGGCAGTATGAGGGTTGAACTGCATATATTGACCAACTGAGAGTTCATTCATGCAGAACATTTATGAGTCATCTGCTGTATGTAAAGCCCTATACAAGGTTGGGGGGGGGAGGAAAAGGGAGGCACAGAAACATATTTTTGGTTCAGCATCTGAAACCTACATCACTATCAGTGGAAAGGAAGTTGTTGAAGAGGCTGCTATGACCTGCTGATCATGGGACCTTCCCATATATGTTGACTCCCTCACTGGAATGGGATTTCCTTGAGAACAGGGGCCATGTTACTTTTCCATTTGAATCTCAGAGCTTATCAAAATGAAAGCATTTAATAACTTTCATTCATTCTTTCATATTCATTCATCCATCCATCCATCTATCCATTCATTCATTCATAAGAAAGTTCCCTTCCTTCAAGGCACTTGGTGAAATGATAAGATGTAAGTAATCTCACAATCTTGCAGAAGAGATAAGATATAAACATACATCATTAATACAAAAAGGAATATGTGAAATTCATAGACTAAAACTAACTAAGCCTTGTGACCATGGCTAACATCACCTACATCTCTGAGTCTCAGTTTCCCTATTTGTAAGAAAGAGATAATAATGAAATATCCATGTCACAAAGGTCATGTAGGACCAGATTTGAACTCAAGTTACCCTATCCATTATACCAGCTAACTAAAGATTACAGAATGTAGGTGGAAGGATCTTAAAGGTCTTGTCTCGTCCACTCCCTCATTTAAAGCAGGCATGGTAGAATGTGCTTGTAATGCTGGAGTTAGCGGATTGTTTGAGTTTGGGAGTTCTGCAGTAAACTCAAAGTCAATCTGCTATCCACACCAAATTGGTACTAATATAGTAAACCTGTAGGAGTAGGAAGGGCTACCAGGCTGCCTAGAGAGGGTGCAAACTGGCCCAGGTTTGAATGGAGCAGGTGAGTGCTTTTGTACCAATGAGAAGTACAATCAGGCCCATGAGCAATTGTTGTCCCTCTAGCCAGGCTGAGGTAAGGGAACTCAGGCTCAGAAAAAGAAACCAAACCATATTTTAATTAAGTGTCTACTACATGCCAGGTACTGTGCAAAGTACCAGGATAAAAACATTTTTTAAATGACATAATCCCTCCCCTTCAAGATGTTTACATTCTACTGGGGGAGGGGGGAATGAATGTATATGACATGTAACTAAATTAAAAGATAAGGAGGAATAGAAGGAGAGGTATAAACAAAGTGATTTGGGCATATTGGCAAAGAGAAGGAAGATTAACAATTGAGAGACAGGAAAGAAACTGGGGAAGACTTGACCTAAGAGGTGGCCCCTAAGCATAGCTTTGAAGAGAGCACAAGATTGTAAGGAAGCGGAAGCCCAGAGAGATGCAACAACTTGCCAAAAGTCACAAGGCAGTGATTAGCAGAGCCAAGATTGAGTAAACTGCTCTCACACCATGCACCTCATCTGCAGTGGTGCCTAGCACTGCGATTACTAGGCTCTGCTCTGGATCATAGATTTTGTTTTGTTTTGTTTTTGTTTCCTCTCCACCCTGCGTCCCAGAAGAATTTTGGCTGTCGGGTTTTCTGTGTTTGGTCTTCTTCCCCCAAGGCCCCATCATCTTGGTATCTTTCTCCTCCATATTTTAAGTTGCTGGCCCAGCCTCTTGGCTTGGAGCAGGTGGGCCCAGCCTGCTGTGAATCTAGACAAGGTGCTGGCTCCCCCTAGTGGACGCTGGTACACCTGCAGGCTGCAGGTGCAACTCCCCATTCCTGCGGTGCCTCCAGGCTGCAGGAAGATGAATTAGGGCAGTGCTGGGGACTGACCTCTTTGTGAAGTTTGACAAACCACGGCTGAGCGCTCTGTTCTGCCTTCTCTTTGCCCAGCCCACCCCCGCCAAAACCACTTCAGTTTTTATTCCCTGGCTCTGAGTTTAGACGCAAGAGTGGGGAAGGGAGAAGAGGCTATGAGTCGCTTCTTCCTCTATCACCTCCCTCCCATCTCTTCTCTCTCCCCTCCTTTTCTCTCTCCTTTTCCTCTCCTCTCCCCTTTTCCCACTCCTCCTTTCCCCCTCTCCTCCTCCTCCTCTTCTTCTTCTTCTCCTCCTTCTCCTTCTCCTCCTCCTCCTCCTCTTCCTCTTCTTCCTCTTCTTCCTCTTCTTCTCCTTCTCCTCCTCCTCCTCCTTCTCCTTCTCCTCCTTCTCCTCCTCTTCTTCTTCTTCTCCTTCTCCTCCTTCTCCTCTCTCTCATTCCTTTCCCTCTCCTCTCTTCCTCCCTCTGTTTTCCCTCATTCCTTCCCCTCTTCTCTCTTCCTCTTTCCCTCCCTCCCTCTTTCTTTCTTCCTCTTCCTCTCCTTATACTTTGGCAAAAGTACAGGAGTCCTCCATCCATCAGCAGGGCTCACTCGAAGACAAGGGATTGTTCTTACAGACCCACGTTCTGCGTGGCTTCACAGAAAGAGCACCGGACTGAAAAACAGGACGTTGGGATCCTAGGCTCAGCTTTACCTTTCGGGCTAATCACGTGCCTCTGTGGGCCTCCGGTTCCGTTTTCCAGAGGGCCGAGAACCCTCCCAGCCTAGTGCTTTTTCTGCTCCTGCAGGGACAAGGGCTTGCCCAGCACCCCTCACAGTCAGTTCATTCTGGCATTGCTGATAGATGGGAACTTCTGCCCTCTTGCAGAGGGAGGGAGAAAGAAAATGGTGACACTCTGGAAGCTCCCTCCAAGCCCTAAAGACTGCCATTGGGACTTTTTTTCTCTCACCTTTGGATACGCAGCAGAGAATGGGCGTGGCTTTTGGGAGGGCAGCCAAGCTGGAGAGCTCAGGCTCCCTAGGGCTGGCTCAAAGGAATCATTAGCTTAGTCTCCACGTGCCGATCACGGCAATGACTTACATTGCCAAGCATTTTCCTCACAACAACCTTGGGGAGGCAGATAGTATCAGAACAATTATTCCCATTTTTCAGATAAGGAAAGTGAAGCCTAGAGAGGTAAGCAGCCTTACTCCAGGTAACACAGCTAGAAGCAGAATTCCAGCTTCCCACACTTCACTGCCAGCCCAATACCATTTCCCCCTAGTGTCTTAGCTATCTGTTCTCCTCTTGACGATAATAGTTGACATTCATATAGCTGCTTTAAAGTTGACAAAGCGCTTGACATGTATCTTCTCATTTGATCTTTGCAACAACCCTGGGAGGTGGGTGCTATTCTTATTATCCCCATTTTACAGATGAGGAGATGGAGGCAAACAGAAGTTTAGTGACTTGCCCAGGGTCACATAATTAGCGAGTTTGTCCAAAGCTGGATTTGAAGTCAGGTCTTCCTGATTTCAAGAGCGCTAGATCTGGAGTCAGGAAAAGCAGAGTTCAAATCCAACCTTGTACATTCACTAGCTGGGTGACCCTGGGCAAGTCTTAACCTTAGATGCTATTAGCTGGCTGACCTTGGGCAGGTCTCTTAACCTGCCTCAGTTTCCTCATCTGTAAAATGAGGACAACAATAACACCAACCTGCCAGGTTGTCGTGAGGATCAAATGAGTTTCTGAAGCACTTTGCAAACCTCAGAGTGCTGTATAAATGCTGGGCTATTATAATCCTCCATCGCACCTCGCTGCCTAAAGACAGCTAAAAGGGACATGGCTTAGAGGAGAGCAGTGAAGGCTTGCTTCTCAAATTTTCTCATGATGAAAGACACAAAAATAAGAATGTTTCTTTTTTCTTGTAAGCCCAGACAGGAGGATTTGGAGACAAGATACTGAGCTGCTGTTGACTCTGAAAGGTCTTCTTGAAAACAGCTCAGCTGTTCTTTCTTAGCCTGTCCCATAAAATGAGAACAGTGAAATTATGGAGCTGTAAATCCAGAACAAATAAAAAAGAATATTTCTTCCCACTCTGCGCAGTCAGCAGGGTGGAGACCTGGGGAGAATTGGGGGCTTCTGGAGAGAGAAGTCAGAGGGTGGGATTTTTTTTAAGGGATGACATAACTTTATGGAAAGTGTGCCATGTGCATTTCAGTCAGAGAGTGGAAATTAACCCCATCACTCAGGCTTTAGACGAAGCAACAGATTTCCCTGGCGTTCAGGGGGGACGGGGTCCTGGATCCATCCATCCATGGTGTCCCAAGCCAGGAGTCAGTGTACAGTGTCAAGAGGGTCATAGATCAATCAACAAACACTTATCTATATGCCTGGCCCTGTGATAGTCCCTGAAGATACAAAGACAAAACATTTCCTGCTCTCAAGTAACTTCCATTTGACTGGGGGAGAAAACACATACATATATAAGCATATGCAGAATAAGTTCAGAAGTACAACAAACACTCTCATAATACAGGGAGTTAAATGCAAGCCAGGGCAGCTAGGTGGCACAGTGGGCCTGGAGTCAGGAGCACCTGAGTTCAAATTTGACCTCAGACATATGCTAGACATGTGATTTTGGTCAAGTCACTTAATCCTGTTTGCCTCAGTTTCCTCATCTGTAGAACGAGCTAGAGAAGGAAATGGCAAACCACTCCAGTAT